CCACAGAAAGCACACAACAGGACTGGGGACCTCTTAGCCATAGGAATCCCCAGAGGGTGGGAGCGCCTGAGGGGGTAGGAGCATGCGAAGCAGCCAGGGCTCAGGACAGCAAATGCCAGGATGCAGGGGAGTTTGCAGGGGTGGGAGGTGGGGGCATGTGTGATTGAGGGTTGGTGGGTCCATGGTAGGTTTGGTAGGATCAGGAGGGGGTTGGTGGGACAATTCTACACTTAGATTGATCTACGCAGAAGAAGAGGATCACTAGATCATTGTTGCTGGTCTGTATTAGGAACTCCTTGTGTTACATCCCATGAAATCTGCTTAATTAGTCACTGGGATAACTTTTCAATTTGTTCTTGTCGATTAGTAAGGTCTGCATGTGCGTGAATTAAGTCTATAGGTACCCATATAATTTGCATACATACAAATTACTATTGGTATGTTATTTCAAACCCATTTATTTCAAAGTTGGTATTTTTTAGTTCAGTGTATTTTAAATGAATCAGGTTTTACTGTAGTTGGAAAAAATGACAAAAATAAATTGGATCAAGACTTGAGAAAAGGTTGCAGAAATTGGGATTATTTATGCTGGAGAAAACAAGATTCAGAGAGGGGGATTTGATAACAGTCTTCAAATACAAGATGCTAATCTGGAGGCAGGGCTAGAAGTAGTGGGTTTAAATTTCAGCAAGGGAGATTTAGGTTAGACATTAGGAAGAATTTCTAACTATGAGGTTGGTCCATGGAGCAGACTCTGTTGAGAGGTTGTGGAATTTCAGTCGGTAGACATTTCTATATGCAGGTTAGTTGTCTTGGATAGTTTAGGCAGGGATGTATCTGCCTTTAGCCAGGGGTGCAACTAGATAACCTCTTGAGGTCTCTTCCAGTTCTAATTTTCTTTGCTTCTGTATTAGTGTCTAATTTTTACTATTTATAGCATGTTGTGTTAATCAGAAGGTATTTCTGCTTTTTAAATGGGTAGCCTTTTGCCTGAGCCAGTATAGTACAGATTGGCAATATTAAATCTAAATACACGTAATATATATCAGACATTGGGTAGGAATAATCTCAGGGTGTGTCTCCATGTACCTATTAAAATGCAGTGTGTGCCTGCATGTGCACTCAGACTGCAGCACATTGAGCTAGGTTGCAGAAGCCCCAGCTGGCAGTGGGTTCGGAGTGAGGGGAAGCCTGCCAACCTGCCAGCCTGGGGCTGCTCCAACCAGGCTCAATGTGCTGTGGAGGGGCTGGCTGGGGCATAAGGGTGTTTCATGGTGGGACTAGTAGGCAGGCAGCTCCCAAACTGATGCACCTTCATGCCCCAGCCAGCCATGTCAACGTATGCACGTGTGCTGGTGTGCACAAAAAAACTCCAGAGCAGAGTAGTACTTGTATTTACTTGTACTCCCTGCTGCAGAGTTTATTAGTTTCATGAGCCCTAATAGGGGTGCAAGTGTAGATGTTGAGACATTTACTGCACAGTTAATTAGGCAACTGTTAGGCAACTGTGCAGTAAACGTCTCATATAGATGTCCCCTCAGTGTCTCAACGGCCATTATGCAGGCTTAAGGCAAAAATGGGTGCGGGGTGCTTTGAAGAGAATTTGGTTGTGAATGAATAAATATACACTTTCTGAACCAAGTTTTGAATATATTTCATCATAACCATATATAAAACTTGCAAACTCTTTTGAAATCTACATGCAAGATTCCACAAAACTGTAAGATATTAATATGAACTACTAATCTACAAAGATGACATATTAAACAATAGGAAATAATTACAGTAGAAAATTCAGTGCAAAAACAGTATGTATGTTTGTCTTTAAAAGGGAGAAAAAGGAATTAAAGGACCAAAAGGAAATGTAAGTAAGACATTCTTTAAACTTGCTCTTTCTACTTTTCACTCTTCTACTTATATTGGTATTAAATGTCGTAGCTCCTTACAAGAAATAACCAACTCAATAAAGCTGACAAAATAAACATACTTGCTCAAATAATATTCTTGAAAGGCTTCACTGACCAAGTATGACCAAGAGTAAAATATTTTGTTTTAGGTTGGAGAGAAAGGTCTACTAGGACCAGAAGGAATTGTGGGTAGAAAAGGGTTAGCAGGAATTATTGGACCACGAGGCCAACCTGGAGAACAGGGTGTTCCTGGAAATGATGGCTCACCTGGGAATGTTGGATCAGTTGGACCCCCCGTAAGACACTGTTCTTTTGAGCTAAAATATCCTCCAAGAAATTCTTAGAGTACTGAGATGGTGGTTTGGATATTGCTCACATTTACATGTGTGTAATACCATTTAAGTATTTGCATATGCGTCTGAAAGAATGGAATTGGAGCAAACAAAGCCAAATTAATTCCTGGTGTCAGTGGAATATAAACCTGGAATGAATTTGAATCAGTAGATCTAGATTTTACTTGGAAGAATAAAGAAATTAGACCAAACTAATAAGCCATTAGCAGGGATTCTGATTTTCTCTGAGAAAAAAATCCCCAGTTTTTGGGTTAAAAACAAGTAAACCCAAATCCACATTTTTCCATGATCAAAATGAAACACCACTATACACACACACAGATGCACACACATATATATGTATGTGTATGTATATGTGTGTATATATATGTGTGTGTGTTTGTGTCTGTCTGTATGTATATGTATATATGTGTGTGTATATATATATATGTAGATATATAGAGATATATATGTATATCAGGTATATATGTATTCATGATATTTCATTTTAATCATGGACAAATATGGATTTGTGGTTACTTTTTTTAACCTGAAAATTGGGGAATTTTTAATTCAGAGGATTCCTGGCCATTAGACATTTCCTTATAAAAAATGTCCTAATTTTTTTAAACCATTGTTTAAAATGTATCGTATATATTTATCAACTGTCAAATTTATATATAATAACTTTTACTATCAATCATGTTACTGGCATGGCAATCTGGATACTGGCAGAGAATTGCATTTCCAAACATTGTTCCATGGGTAATTACAGGAAATTCAGGAGATGCTTCAGTGAGCTATGCTATTAATAGGACTGTTTGGCATATTTTATTTCTCAGATTGTTCTAACAATCTTTTTTATATAGGGGCTCCCCTTTCCAGAAACTCGTGTGATAGAGGTGTGCAAAAGGATTGCTTTAGAACAAATGTCCACCTTTGCAAACCATGTGATGAGGAAATGTGCCAGCACATGCCCACTATATGGAGATGTGCCTATGGGGTCCCCAGGACCTGTTGGTTGGCCTGGACCTCCTGGAAAAGAGGTAAGCATGGAAAGAAAGTAAAACACATCTCTGTTTACACTGCTCTGTTACTGAAGCATTGAAAACAATGCTAAGAGACATTCATTCATGGACATCAATAACCTGGAGATCTTGCTGTCACTAAAATCAAGTCAATGAGAGTTTTTGATTGACATCAATGGGACGCATTTTCTTGCAAGGGAAGACAAGTATATCAATTTACAGAACTATGGAAGCAGTTAACAGATTACATATAATGTTCTGAAACCTCTGCTACGTTGTTTTAAGCTTAAAGACATGTATAGTAAGACTGTCATAAAAGGCTGAATAAATACACTTCATTCAATTATATAATTAAAAAAACTTTCAAGGCACAAGTGGTATGAAACAGGTTTTTATTTAATTCTTCCATGATGTTCGACATCTCTAAAGGCAACCTCTGACTCATAGTCTTGGCATTCATCATCCACTAATCTAGGAAATCCCGATGTTTTTGAGGGCTATAACTGCATTTTGAACAGCACAGAAGTGTTTTCTGGTACCTACAGCAGTGAATATAACAAATGACTAACAACTTAATTAGTTCTTTTATCAGTTATCACATTCATTATTGTGCTAGAGCCAAAATCTAATCACATAACTTACTTAAAGTTACCATGACATCTTGAATAGTTTAGGGCTAATTAATCTTCATAGATACTTATTTTATTACAAATAAGTGCTTGCAACACGATGCACTATGAATAAAGAGTGATTTTTCTTTTGATTATAAAAAATAAACACCAAGACTGTAGACCAACTGTAGATTTGATGGAATTTTCCACAGATTTATAAAATATTTTTTTGAGCACAAAGAGGTACATTACTGCATGCAATATTCCAATAGTAGAGCAAAAATGGGTTTTTTTCCATGTGAAAGTTTTAAGTTAATATAAAGGCTAATATTACCTACAGAAACACAGACCATAAATAAAAGATTTTACTGGTGGCCTCAAATATCCCTGCCATCTGAAAACACTGGCTTCATACTTGCTCACCTCCTTTTAAACACATTTCAGCACGTCCAGAGTTCTGTGCCAAGCTGACAGCATGCAGCATTGTCTTTTTTATTTATTATCTCCTCTATTCCACAGTATATAACAAAATTGCTGTCTAACGTATTTTAAATTTTTAATAGCCTTGTTCTACCTTATTTCTTTGACCTAATCAGTCCTTGTTCTCCCACTGCATTCAGCTGTAGCTGAGAATACTTTCAGGATACCACCTTTAACCTTCATTATTACATAATCACTTTTTTGCTCCTTAAATATGGAACAGCCTCACTTTACCTATACCGATTTTCAAACTGCAGTGGTGGGTAAAGTGTTTCTTCTTTCCCTGCTTCCCTCCACCCTTTCTCTATGGCTTTTGTGTTGTCTTCATTAGGAAACAATGCAATTTAAATATGATTTTTAACAACTGAGTTAGGTAAGGTGATACAGACAATTGATGACTTGTTTGTCTGTGTTCAGCATTCAGTTAATTAGATTTTAAACACTGCAATAATCTAGCGAAGCTTGGGATTTTTTTTAGCTCTTATCCAGAAACTTCAGGTTTTTTTTCTTTTTACAGCTTGTTCTTCTTACCATGGGTTTTTTTTGTAAAAGTAAGCAGGTTTCCAGGAATTCTAAAATCAGTTCATAAACAAAGAAAGGACTAAATGTTTTATTGTTGAGGAGGGAGAGGGGGGAGTGAAAGGTTACTGTTTAACTTTTGATTTTAAGTTAACATCAGATTATTTTTGTTTTCTCCATAGTGTAGCTAATCTTCTAATACTTTTATTGATACCTGCATCTCCTTTTATTTGCTGGTATTGACTAGAATTTAACTATGAAAGAGAAAATGTATTTTGTTGTCATGTAATGTAATGTAAGATAATATAATATAACATTTTTAACATTTTTATAGGGCAACCCTGGGTTGAATGGAGTTGATGGGGAACATGGCCCTGAAGGGTATTACGGAGATTTTGGGGATCCTGGAAAAAAAGGCTCAATAGGTAGAATATTTTTTAAATACTAGAATAAAAAGGTATAGTCTATGCTATAAATAACAGTAGCCACATATGTAAGTAATCTTTAAGATATGTTTTTAAAATTATTTTTAGGTGAACGTGGTGACAAAGGCCATAAAGGTGCCAGAGGTTTTGGGTTAGTTGGCTCTGAAGGCAACCAAGGTCGAAGAGGTACCTATTTACTCTGTTTTTGAAATCTTGCTTGCTATAAATATATGTCTGTGGGGAAATTTCTATATTATGTACTATTGTAGCATGTTACATTTATGTCTTGAGGATGTATGAGATGATTCTGCAAACTGGTGCTAGATGACTCTGTATCTGTGCATTCTGTCAAATTGGACCAGCATCAAATTTGCTAACCAAGATGTTAAATAGGTAGGTTCAAAGACCAGACTCTAAGGTGCACCACTAGTAACTGTTCTCCTGTCGGATAACTCACCTTTCAACATAACCCAGGGTTTTCAACCTTTTTTTAACAAGTGTACCCCTTCTGTCTCAAAGTTTCAGCCCATGTATCCCTTTATATTTTTTTCTTGTTTTTAATATTTTTCCTATTTTTAACGTGCTATGCCCCCATGGCAGGAGCACACAGAGCCCCCTCAGTGCGGGGCAGCCACATGGGCCCTTCATGGTGTGAGGGGAATCAGCCACAGCCACACCTTCAGCCACTGCTTGCTGGGGTAATAATGCTGTGACACCCTTGGCTGCCCCCAGGCACGGCCAGCTGCACACATCAGATGAGGCTGAATCGTGCCCTGTGTCATGAGGGCTGCGTGGCTACTGACCCGCCCACCACAACGCTCTCAGAAACAGGGCCACCGCCACCCACCAGCACCTCCACCAGCAGCCAGTGCCCTGCGCCATTGCCTCCGCCACCCCCCTTGGCCACGTGCCACACCCTGTGCCACTTTCCTATGGCCAGCCATGTGTGTAGCTCTGTGGACTACTGACAGCCCTCCTGCCTGGCCAGTTACACACTGCTGGGGATGGGCACAGAACACTACCCCCCCCACACCACCATTCAGCCTCTTGCGACCATGCAGGAAGTGGGTGGCTGTGGTGCTTCCTTGCTGTCAGCTATTAGCTGAGGGTAGCAGCCTGGTGGCCAATCAGAAGAGTGAGCTGGGTGGGAGTCAGGGAGGCACCATGATGTGCTGTGTGGGACTGGCGGCACCTGGTGTGCCCCTCCCCCAGGTAAGAGGCGAAGCGTGGGAATGCGTTGGGGAAGCCGCCATTGCCACGCCTTGGGGTATGCTCTGTTCCCACCTGCCTGTGCAGCCCCAGCTCCAGCCCCAGCTCCCCATGGCTGAAGCAGGCTGCGTATCCCCTACAACCTTTTAAAGTACCCAAATGGGTACACATGCGCCAGGTTGACAACCACTGATACCTAGTGTAATCTTCCTTTAAGTAAAATCCTTATCCACCTCAAGATAGTAGTATTGATACCTGTTGTCTGGCTTGGCCAATCATTTCCCATGAGGTACAGTATCAAAAACTTTTTTAATATATATTTTTTTAAAGTTAAACTAAGTCCACTGCTCTGCTCTTATTTAAGAGCAAAGGATACTGATATTGAAGCAGTCTGAATCTGTGTTTCTTGGCTAAAACCATGTTATATTTTTGGTTTTGTAGTTCCAGATCACTCTTTGTACCTTTTTAAAGCAGATGCAAAGCATCTTCTTATAGTACCTGAACAATTTAGGGCCAGACTTTCTATAGCTGGCCCCTAAAAGATTTTCCTGCCCTTCCTGTTCTGAGACAACTGCAATTTTAGTTTGTGAGCACCAGCACTTTATAGAGATGAGTAGTAGAATCAACAGCTTTATTGGATCACCAGCTGGGCCAAGGGGATGGGCTTAAATGATCTAAAGATCCTTTTAATCTCTAACCTGTATGGCTCTAAATATGCTGGTAACATAAATATACTTTCTGACTATTTCTAGGTGAACGTGGAAGAGATGGACTAGTGTTTGATGGACTGCCAGGTCAGCCTGGTTCACGGGGACATATGGGGCAACCAGGACTGAGAGGCTATCCAGGATTTAGGGGACCTTCAGGCATATGCAAGATAGGATGTGAGCCAAATCTTATGAATGAAGTTCATCATCAAAGTGAACAAATATTTCAGGGTGAATCACTGTGAAATCTCTTGGTGTAAACAAAAAATGGTGGGGGAAAACTTACCCATTCTCTCTTTTTAAAATGAAAATAATTGGAAAAATATTGGTAAATTCTTATGTAGTATAAAATATGTTTACATTGTGAAATGATTACAGTTGGTAGTGGCAAATAATTTCATTTATACCTTTTACATAGAGAATATCTGGTCTAAAAATACTGCACTTAGCATAGATCATATTATTTATATTATATAAAAGAGAACTAGTTTTTTTTTTTAATTGGATGAGCTAATCCTTTTCTGAATATACCTAGGAAATATTCTTTACAATAAAAGCTGAAAAACTTACAAGTTTATATTAATTTTACAGATGTCCCTTGCTTCTCCTACCAGTCCAGACTAGGTAAAGAAGGACCATGGACATACTGTATGAGGGTGTATAAATATTTACATATTCCTCATGAGAGAACTGCTGATGAAGGAAATTATTAATCAGTTTGTCCCATATCACGTTTTGTGATACAATCCTGCCTGAAAATAAGTCGGTCCCTACCCATGGCACATCACAGGGGGAAAAAAAAAAGGATTACACATTAACTTTAGTGTTTGTTAAGGCAGCCTAATTCTTGCAGTCCAGAAGGAATGTCTGTGCAGGATTATATCCAGTGCTCCAATGTATTGAATGGGGTAACTGAGTTTTTGCTTGCTCAGACAGGAAAAGGGAGAGTGTCAGGACCTACCACCACATACTTTCCTCAAATGCTGTACTCAGTAGGGCAAGTGGGGTACTAGCTCTCTTCCTCTCCAAGTGCTCAGCCTTCCCATCTCTCCTTGCTCTCTGGCGTGTGGTATATATTCATTTATCAGTTTTATATGATACCATTCCCCAAAAAGGCTGTGCGTGCGTGTGCGCGCACACTAGTTCCCATTACATCAGAACTGTCTAACTGGTGGCCTGCAGGCTACATATGACCCACAAGGAGTTAGTTTGCAGGCCCAGGGTTCCCACTTGGCTGCCATGCCCCCATTGCTTGGAACGGGAGGATCCCTGGGGTTCGGGGGGCAGGCATGCTGCTGGGTGGGGAACACTGCTAAGGAGTACTGTGGTGCTGGTGGCAGCACAGAGGGCTCTGGCCTCCTCTGAGCCCCGATGCTCCCGCATGCAGTCCACTACAGGGCAGGCAGAGCTGCATCAGGGCCCCTCCACGTGGAAGGGGCCTGCGCTCTCTGACATTATGACAGGGGCCGCTGCCTCTATCAAGGATCCTGCCCCCCACTGCTGCAGTGGCTGGGTGGGGGCATGACCAGATGCCAGCCACCAGCACCTCTTAGGTTGTGGGGCAGGGATGGGAGTTATTCCCCCTCTCTCCAGTGTCCAGCAGATGGTGCTTATTCTACTGCTTGCCCCAAGTGGGGAGCAAGTTGTGGTGGTGGTCGGGGTGGGCAGACCCAGTTGTGGTCTCCAGGGGTAGTGGGGGTAGAGTGGGGAATAACCCTGCCCTGCCCCTTCTGCCTCACAGGCCATGCTGCCCTGCTGCTGTAGCAGCAAGTGGGGGGAGTGCCTGGCAGACCCACTATGGGTCCCTGCCTGTGGGACAGAGAGCAGGGAATTAAATCCTTCACTGGCCAATTCAGCCCAGGATAGCCATGCCTCCTTCCTCCCACCCCCCACTACAGCTTCCCTGTAGCCAAGGATGTGCTCCAGCACCCCCTGGCACCTGGCGTGAGCAACTGCAGGCATGTGCCCATAGTGTCTCAGTCCAGAAGGAATGTCTATCCTGTTACACTCCGGTTCAACCTAGGCTGGTTAGACTTACCAGAAAAGGTTGAATCAATTCAGGCTCTGGCTTTTTAAGTGTCTATTCTGGTGACTGGAAGGGGTGAAAGCCTGACTCCTGGGCCATAGGGCTCTGTCTGGTCCTGTGATAGAGCATCTGTGAGCCCATGCTGCTGGAGAGAGGGGTGCAAGCAAACTCATGCCCCCTGGACAGCTGGAAGGGCTAGGTGGGAGGAGTGGGAGTTTGCTGGTTTACAGAGACCAAGAAGGGTACAAGTATTTTGTCTGGGAACCGGAACAGTTTGTTGGTTATTCATAGAATCATAGAAGTAGGGTCGGAAGGGACCTTGTAGATCTTCAAGTCCGACCCCCTGCCTGGGCAGGAGAAAAAAAAAACAAAAAAACAAAAAACAAAAAACTGGGCTCAAATGATCCTAGCTAGGTAGGCATCAAGCCTCCTCTTAAAGACTCCCAGGGTAGGAGCCAGCACCACTTCCCTTGGAAGTTGGTTCCAGATCCTAGCCGCCTTAACTGTGAAGTAGTTCCTATGGATGTCTAATCTAAACCTACTCTCCAACAACTTGTGGCCATTATTCCTTGTTATGCCAGGGGGCGCTAGGGGAAACAAGGTCTCTCCCAAACCCTTCTGGTCCCCCCTAGTGAGTTTATAGACGGTCACCAGGTCCCCCCTCAGCCTTCTCTTGTGAAGGCTGAACAGGTTCAGGTCCCGCAGTCTCTCATTGTAGGGTCTGCCCTGTTGTCCC